TCAGATATTCAGTAAGTTTCAACATACCTTAAAACGTTCCTCAAATAAAGATAACTCGGAAATTAAATCAGTAATGGCGTGCATCAAAGCCTCATGTGGAGCATAATCAGAGGTCGTCTGAATCCTCAACACAAACTTATGTTCTAAAGGATGAGGCAACTTGTAACCAGCAAACAATACATTGGGATCTTTAAGTAGTTGGCTAGAAAAATAAATACATCAGCAGTTAAATTAATTTCATGCTAAATATTTTTTACTTACTTTCTGATCATGTTTCCTAGAGTATGATCTTCTTTATTTATGGTGAATATTGCAGCATTTGGCACTTTGGTGTCTTGTTCACGAATTATCCTTAAAGAAAAGGCTATAAGTAATTTATTATTTTTTACTTACAATTATACATTACTTTTTTTCCCCGTCATATAATAAGAATGATTCAAATGTTGGTGGCGCATTCATGTTGAAAAGTTAATTGGTTTTTGTAAATTTGATAAATCGTAGAAGAAAACAAATCAACTTAATCTTGAAATAGTTTTATAAAGACCATAAAAACCTCACAGAAAAGTGCTGTAAATCTTCTACAAAACAATTTGATTTTATAAGAGAATATGTTTTATAAGTTAGTTGTAAAAAAGTGTCTGTGATAATTTCGTGACTATTTTATAACGTATTTATAATTTTATTTTATAAACGTTTCTATGACAAATTTATAAAACACTTTTATTGCCTACAACTGTATTATATTCAGGGCCCGCCTAATATAATCAATTAGCATTTTGGAAGTAATTATAAAATACCAACAAAATAAAACTGTTTCAGCACCAAGAAATTATAAAACAATTTTGCTGGTTGGGTCGTGTTTCGTTGTACAGAGTGGACCAAATTGGACATTTTTAAAGGGAAACTCTGGTTTTCAAACTAGATAGATGATAACTGATAGCTGTATATGAGGGTCAAATGTTATTACAATCATAATGGTGAAAAGCGCATATCGATATCTACCATCATTTCTGAGTTACAGCATGTTTTTCGAAAATGTGCATTTTTGAAAAGTTGCACTTTTTTATGGAAGAATGGTGTGAAAAACTTATTTTTTCAAACGGAATATTAATAGTTATTGATGGAAAACATTTTTTTTAATGAGATGCCCTGTATATTCCTGCATATTTCAGTGGAGCTTAAAATTACCTTTCCAAAAATGTAGCACACTTGATGTTTTGCCAGAGTCATCTTTGAAATACAGAGCTTTTAGGTTTTTTCATGTAGACTTTGAAACGCACACTTTGATCAAGTAGGCTTTGAACGAAGCGATGATAATTTGTTATGTTTCAGATCGTTTGTTAATTCCACCGGCACCATTTTCAGCAAACGCATTTCAAAATCTTCAAAATAGACAACGGTTTTTTCATGGATTTCAAGTTACCACTAGTATCAAATATTTCTCGACGTTTCTCTTTGGAAAAACATGATCAGAGCCAGGTCATACAAATCATCGTCAGAGTTATCTCAAAAAAGTATAGACCAATATGATTAGTATCTAGATCTCGATGACTGCAAATATATCTTGAAAGATGGATAAAAAAAATAAAGNATTACTCTCAGAACACAGAAAAGCCCAAAACAGTGAACATAACCAATTTTCATATTTATTAGTACCCAAGATATTTATGTACATGGAAACCCTGGTTGTTTTATCTATGCGTTTTTATTTCAATATTCAATTCACAGAGGAAGTGGATACACACCTCAATTGGCATTACTCGATAATGCCAAGTTGGCACTTTAATTTTCAATGTTGTTTACATTTAGGAATATACTGATATTAGGTGAAATATTCTTTTATGATTTGTCTATAAATTGGATATTTGAAAGGAACCCATGTGACAGATTTCGATTCTTTCACCATCTATCAACATATGTATAAAGTTGGGTGAATCTCATTTCTCGCGTCGAGGGTCTTAGACAAGACAAAAGCAAATAGGTTAAAACACACGGGTTTTCATGCATCCTGGGGTTGACTAACTAATCTTTTTATTCAGAGGAGAAGGTATAGGTAAATCCTTAGACAAGGTATATGCTTTGTATATAATATACAAAGGCATTATATTCGCAAACAGCTTTTGCTATTGAATGGTAGGTGGCAGAAGAAAATAGAGTACTTAAATTTATTCATCATGATCATGTGAAATCAACATTTCCTAAGATAAGGTTTTTATGAAAATTTTATATAATCTTCAGGCGGAATACGAGATCAAACAAATGAATTTGCACAATTATTTCTGAGAAACGTTTTTGCATAATTTTTGTTTTCAATCCATGTTATTCTCCAGTAGTCGCCAATCTCTGCGGTTCTGTCATTTCTCATTTTCTCATATCACTATTATTCAGTCTGCGCGAGTGTGTGCTGCAGGCAGGAGGTAGATTGTTTGGCAAGTCTCGCTGAAAATGGCGGAAGCCACAGGTGCATCTAGTGTTAATCCAAATGCTGAGGTTGTTAGAGGCCAGGTTTTTGAAGTAGGACCCCGATACACCAAACTAACTTATATTGGAGAGGGAGCCTACGGAATGGTCGTGTAAGTACTACTTATCTCTTGGCCGTCAAGTTACCCTAGTCTGTTTATTACACGCCCTAAAACAATAGAATATTGATAAAGAATCGAAAGTAAAAATATAATAATATTGGGAATAAAAATAAATACACTTGTATTGGAAACAGGTTCTTTCATTTGACGTACAGATGGTAAACTGTTTCCTCGGTGTTATTGAGGTTATGTTATCATAACTTTCTCCTCATTAATTAAAATTAAAAAATCAATGGTTAGGAATATATGTAGTTCTATTTTTGAATTTTCGTTTATCAGTCTGTGTCTTATATTCATTTTATATTATCTTATTGATGAATCAAAATGCATGATCCAATAATGCAAATCAATTTTGCAAATTACCACTACAATTGATAACTCAAAGATTTGACAGACGTTCATTTATGTCAGAACAATATACTTATTGGTCTAAATTAAAAAAACCTTATGTTTTGGTACATTTCATTTGTAAACAAGTTTTTAAACATCATTCAAAAGTATTTATTCACCCATGATCAGGTAGTTATGTTTTTTTTTTACTTACAGAAAAAGGATTGGATAACCCTTTTTAGTCAAACAACTCTTTTTCAAAAAAAGTTTTCTACATTCACTATTATTACGCTACATTATAATGAATGTGACAAAAAAGTTGCTACACTCATTTATCAATTCAGAAGTGAAATCAGAGAGGTTATATTTACTGTCTCAGATCACCTAGTTTTTTCACTTCAGTTTTTGAAAATTTAACAAGTATGTTATAAAAAAAAGAGTGGCTGAACGAAATCGAAACAGAGCCATTATTAGATACTTGGTTGACATTGTAAAAAAAGGCGTATCGTGTCACCCCCTTGAGGGTACAACCCAAAATTTTCAATATGGAATGGGATGTTCAGCAGGATGTTTGAAGCCCTTGAAATTCTCCTCGCACTAGTAGGTATTTGAATTCAAAAATATCCTCTATTAGTTTTGTAAAAAATATATTTTGAAAACTTGAATTTGTTTTGCTGCTCATTCACTAGATAAGTACATACTTAGTTTTTGCGTCACGAAGGTTATATTTCTCACTTTTCGGAAGCATTTCCGGAGTCATTCGATGACACTCGTCAACAATTCTGGTGCTGGTTATGTTACATAACATAAAAGTCAAGGGACAATAGATCTGGTTATCGTGGAGGCCATCCTTATGCTGCCTCTTTCTTCATTATGATACAGTGGAAAACGTTTGTACAAATACTGACGATCAACAATCGGTGCAATGTGGAGGAGCACCGGCGCGTTCAAACATCATTATACTTTTAAAATGACCATTGTCATACTGTTGATTTGAATTGAAATTTGGAAAGGAAGCTGCTTTGAACGGCCTTCACAGTGACCAGAGTTGTCGCTTCTTGATTTATATTTTGTGTTCACCACTCCAGTGGTGAAAACGCTGAAAACGATCACTCTTTGTTTTATTTGAAGTCAGAGAGACATTAACGCTTTTTATACAACAACCAAACAAATAAAAATTGAAATATTAATAAAAGCTGAAAAAATCGAATAAATTAAAAATATTATCAACAAAAAATGAAACAATAAAAATTAAAAGATTTCAAACCAAGTTATGTCACAACGTTTCGATTGATAGTATCCACACTCGTCTTCGGGTGATAACTGGACTTACTCCTCCGAGATCTGACTGTTTATAGGTCATTAAAGCTTGACCATAGTTTTCTCATATCCTCGGAATAAGTCGCTGGTTTCGGGTCCGTACCGGGTTATTCCGTACAGGGTTATCAAATCAATTTATATTATATTAGACAATGGAAGTCCGAACCGATGAAATACACCACGAAACATTGTCAACCACCTTCAAAAAAAAGGGGTAAATATTGCTTTCGAAACCAACAACAACTTAGGCATGCACAGTAAGAATAAAACAGTTGAAAGTTCAATTACAGAAAAATCAAAAGTGTACAAATTATCATGTGGGTCATGTCAGATGTTTTATACAGGCTGATTCACGGTGGATGGCACATTAGACGTTTCTGGTGAACCAGACAACGGATCACTTTGAAAATTTAATGGAGGGCAAGTTTCTTGGTGCTTTTAAAGTTGATCCAAATGCATTGAAATTATTCTAAAGTCATATAAATTTCTAGAGGTTCATTGGCGGTAGATTCGGATACATTTCATTGAACTTTCTACATGTTCTGCTGATAATTTTGTCACACTGTCCAAAAATAATAAACAAATTCATAAAAAGTTCCGAAAATTGCAACTTTTCAGCCTTCTTTTTACACAATACTAATTAATTTCTTTCAAATTGTTATGCTTTTTCTTTCATCAACAATTTTCTCCTGGCAGAAGAGATTTCAATTATACAGGATGAATTATAACCTTGAAAGAATAGAGTTGAAATAACTAATTTAGATTCATCAAAGGTTTCAAAATGTAAGAAATAAAAAACTGATGAAAAATTAACAAATGTTAATGGTCATTTCTAACATGCAGCTTATCCTAAATTTCACCTTAGATTTCAAATATGAAAAGTTCCGCAAGTGTCACTTTTTTTTATTAAAAATCAGATATTTCGAGAAGTATGTGACATAAATAATATAAGAGTTATATGAAATAGACCTAGAATTTTCTGTAGTATATAAATCTGTGATAACATATAGGGTGGTCCTTCAAATATGACAAAGCTTAAACCTACTTCTAGTATAACCGAAACTGCTTCAAATTTAAAACTATTTCATCTGAGTTGATACTTGGCGCAATTCTGAAAAAAAATCAAGTAAATACAATGAATAATCATGTTTTTCATTTCTTTCAGTCTTGGTTTCAAACCACAATTCAGACAACCTGCGCCAAGAATGTACTGTGATATCTGTGAGGAGTTCGATCTTCACGAAACTGAAGATTGTCCCACCCAAGGTGATGATGAAATGATTAGTGATGTACACGTAGTTAAAGAACCAAAAGAAAAACCTCCGCCAAGACCTTATTGTGACACGTGTGGTGGTAAGTGAAGATTCATCATCTACATCAGTTCTAAGCCCAACGTAGCCTTTATGTTGCACGGGATTACAATTACGCTCTTGTTTCACCTTTTCGGAGGTAGGATCTTGAGTGTTGATAATTTTTTGTGTCTTTTTTGACAACAACCAAGAGAAACTATTCCCAACAGATAATTACTTGGTTCAAGACACATTTTGAAGTAATTAGGTTATATCAAAAGCTTTGTCCGTTTTTTTTTAAATCTACTTTAAACCGTGAATACTCATTAAATTAAGTCGAAATAAGCGACATTTGATTAATTCTGTCTGCATTGAAATTATGTGATTGGGATTCGATGAATTCGCATGGAACCTGACGCCCAGTTATTCCGCCATCCCACGCACTGTTTGTGATGGGTCAGTATCTACCAGGTTCGTCGAATCCTCGTCCTGGATTATTGTAGGTCGACCACTTCGGGACTCATCTCCGGAACAAAATTTTGCAAACCAACGCCAAACAGTGCGTTCATTAACACTATCATTACCAAATGCCTGTTTAATTTTTCGGGCAGTGCTTTGATTCAATTTGTGGTTGAAAGTCGATTAAAAACATCATATAGTAATAAGCTGAAGAGGTGAAAAATTGAGCACACAATCATTTATCAATCTAGGGAAACCATATTGTAGGACCTCTATTTATTGATCAAAATTCAACAGGGGAACTGTATTTGAATATGCTGAAAGCTACTGTTGACCTTCTCATCACTGAAATCGTCGAAACGAGTCCTAATGAATTCGATATGGATATTGTATTCCAACAAGATGGATCACCACTACATTACTCCAGACGAGTAAGAAACTATTTGGGTACTACCTTTCCCTGTCGTTGAATTGGCCGTCGAGGTCCTACAGAATAGCCAGTCCACTCGCCAGACTTGACACCTTTGGACTTTTTTTTATGGGGCTATTTGAAGCAAAAGGTGTACGAAACTGAACCTGCTTCAATATTGGATATAAGGCAGAGAATAATAAATATTTGTAGAGATAATGACGTTACTGT